CCGTATAACTGATTCTGTGTAAGGTGTTTGGAAATATTCTCTGTGCGTCTTCCTGGACCAATACCCTGAACAGGTGTTTAAAAGTGGGCCATCCCTGTAAACACACCTGCACTTAAATTCTGAGAGTGCCATGTCTTAATGTCATAAATAAAAATTTTAAGTGGGAGAATGCATAGTTCTATAAAAACATAAATACAATAATGTTGTATTGCTCCTTGCATTTTAAGTTTCACTTCACTTTAAAAAAACAAAACTAGGGGCGCCTGGGTGGCGCAGTCGGTTAAGCGTCCGACTTCAGCCAGGTCACGATCTTGCGGTCCGTGAGTTCGAGCCCTGCGTCAGGCTCTGGGCTGATGGCTCAGAGCCTGGAGCCTGTTTCTGATTCTGTGTCTCCCTCTCTCTCTGCCCCTCCCCCGTTCATGCTCTCTCTCTGTCCCAAAAATAAATAAAAAAACGTTGAAAAAAAAAATTTAAAAAAAAAAAAAACTATACATTTCTGTCAAATTTTTGTACTTTTGTTGCTGTCAAGTTGTTTTTTTAATCTTGATTCTCATTTCTATATTCTAGTTTATATTTTCATGCTGCTAAAATTTACATTATTACTGTACTATTCTTATGTTTAAGGAACTAGAACTTACAAGAAATGCATAATATTTCAAACATTGCCAAAGGAAACGCCTTTGAAAAGTCTCCAAAATTATATGCTAAAAACCTAAATAAAAATGAGTAGGTGTAGGGGTGCCTGGCTGTCTCAGTCGGTAGAACAGGAGACTCTCGATCTCAGGGTTTTGAATTTGAGCCCCATGTTGGATGTAGAGATTACTTAAAAATATAAAATCTTTTTTAAAAATGAGTAGGTGTAGGAAGAACCTTAAAAATAACCAAATTCGGTTCAACTGAAAACGTATAAGCAATTTTTAATTTAAGGACACATTTTTTACTTTATGTAATGCATTTGTAAATACTATTAATGTGTTAATACATTATATGCTGCCACTTACCACAAGGCACATATCAGCCATCTCGAAAATGTTTTTTTAGAATAACATTTTATTCATCATCTGCCCTTTCTTTTCCCTGTTGGAAAATGAGCGCTTAAATATCGAAAGCATTTTCCTTTGGGAAAGCGATTGTAACCCTTTTCCGTGGCTACAGAAGAGAAAGGGCCCACAGGTCAGTGAGCAGCACGTGCACCGAGGCTGTGTCAGCTCATTATGAAGAACTTCCCAACCACTTGAGCTGTTCCATACCAGCCCTGACGGTTTTCAATCAGGAGCTGGCTGGTCATTTATTATCAAAGGACATAAAAACATTAATAGCTGTTATCAGTTGAACTCTTAAACTGTTCCTGGCACAGTGATAGGTTTATTTATATACTTTTCTCTTTGATCTTTACAGCAGGTTTGCAAGGTTTAGAGATAATGCCACCAATTTACAGATGAGGAAGTTAAGTACAAGGAGGTTAAGTGACTTGCCTGTGGCCACACAGCTATCAGTAGTAGCAAACTCAACAATTCCTATCTTGTTTTGAATGGTGATTTTTTTTTCCCCATCATAAAGACCTGATGAACTGTAGATCCTTTTCTCCAGAAAAACACTGATAAACATAATTTTCATACAACACAGGATTTTTATAATTCCCAAAATGCCTTCTGTGGATCTCTTAGATACCCATTTACCCCACGTTAAGAATCCATGGTTTAACTTTAAGCAATAATTCTTAAAACACAAAATGTGCCAATTTACTTGGTTTAGAAGGGGGGTTCCGGCATCCATAAATTTTAAAAGCTCCCTAGCAATTTCTGTTATAAAGACAGGGTCTGTGGGGCACCTGGGTGGTGCAGTCGGTTAAGCGTCCGACTTCAGCCAGGTCACGATCTCGCGGTCCGGGAGTTCGAGCCCCGTGTCGGGCTCTGGGCTGATGGCTCAAAGCCTGGAGCCTGTTTCCGATTCTGTGTCTCCCTCTCTCTGCCCCTCCCCCGTTCATGCTCTGTCTCTCTCTGTCCCAAAAATAAATAAACGGTGAAAAAAAAAAAAAAAAAAAAAAGACAGGGTCTGAGAATCACTGCTTTAGTTAGGTTAGATGGCCTATAACATCCATTCCAACTCTCAGGTTTGAATAGAAGACATTCAACAGAAAATCCGATCTTTCTTATCTTTCATTCTTGTTAGTTTGGTTTTGTGCCAATGGATGAGTCACAGGGAGCACACATTCCATCCTTCACCATACCTACCAACAAGAAGTCTGCCTCTAAAAGTATATGTTGGACTTCTCACTTGGTTCCTGTGGACTTTTTCCTTCTTGTTGTTGTTGTTTTTAACGTTTATTTATTTTTGAAACAGAGAGAGACAGAGCATGAGCAGGGGAGGGGCAGAGAGAGAGGGAGACACAGAATCCAAACCAGGCTCCAGGCTCCGAGCTGTCAGCACAGAGCCAGACGCGGGGCTCGAACTCACAGGCCGCGAGATCATGACCTGAGCCAAAGTCGGACACTTAACCGACTGAGCCACCCAGGGGCCCCTATTTCCTTGTTTTTTAATTGAGTTCAATACTATCAATATCTGTTGGAAAGCTATTATACACAATGAAATGGAATGCTACCTGGAGCTGAGATGTAATGATGCAAACATTCCCTGCTATTATAAAAGTGATAATGTCATGATTGTGGTCTCTTGTACTTTCCTGTTTTAAAAATCACATCATTTTTTCGTTAAAAAAAATTCTTTAGCTTCCATTTTGCTTTGTTATTGATATTCTTTTTAAAGATGATACACAACAAAAGTGGAATTTAAGTACTATATGAGTTAAGATTAGGCTCAATCTCTACAGGAAGTATCTCTTCTATATAAAGTATGGGTATGGTCAGTCTAAGAATGATTATCATTCTTATTTGATTACCATCCTCAAAAAATGCATCCATTTTTTGGTCCAAGATGGCTTCTCCAGTTATTGTCACCCCATCTGCATGCCAGTTAGGGAGAAGAGGAAGGCAGGTTTCTAATCCTTAAGAGAATGACCTGAAAATTGTACAGTTCGTATCTGTTTACATCCTACTGGATAAGAGTCTGCAGATGTATCTGGCTGCAAGCAGGCTAGAAAACCTGGTCCTTAGAGTAATTGATATTTAGGTGGCTCCATTGTTCAGTTTTCTGATAATAAACCTGTGTTTGTCATTTTTCCACTGCCCTCGTTTTTGAAATCACTGAAAATATGTCTTTGAATAAATCTTTTTAAGAAAGTATATGGTCGTTATTAAATGTTGGTGATAGAAAAACTGCAGAAAAGAACGTTCATAGACTCATTGCCAAGCGGCTGTTTGATAAACATTTTAAACTTGTTGCATTCTGGGGTGCTTGGTGGCTCAGATAGTACAGCATGCAATTCTTTTTTTTTTTTTTTTTTTTTTTTTTTTTTTTGGTGAGAGAAAGAGTGTGTGCATGCATGCAGAGAGGGAGTGAGAGAATTCCAAGCAGGCTCTGCACTGTCAGTGTGGAGCCCAAGGCAGGGCTTGATGCAGGGCTTGATCCCATGAACCGTGAGAACACGACCAGGGCCAAAATCAAGAATTGGAGGCTCAACCAGCTGAGCTACCCACGCACCCCAAGCATGCCACTCTTGATCTCAGAGTTGTAAGTTCGATCCCCATGATGGTGATAGAGATTACTTGAAAATAAAATCTTCTAAAAATAAAAATACAATAATTTGTAGCATTGTTTAGCTACTGACTTTTAATCCAACCTCTTCCTCTCATTAGTTTGTGATTTCAGATATGTCGTCTGACAATGACTTCTGTATCTGGAAAAGAGAGTAATAGTGTCTAACCCTCCAGGTTCTTCTTATAAATGAATGAATTCATAGATGTAAAAGTGTTTTTGAAAACTAGAAAGTACAATGCAGATACACAATGGTGGTATTGTTTTAGTTTTTATATACTGTACAGCACCTTGTATTGAGGCACAGCCTTCCACTGACAGAATCTTGAGGTATCATTATTCTGGAGCAGTTACCTTGATCCTATTTCTAGACTCCAGGGACAGCCTGGTGCTTCACTGCCTCCACCAGAATCTTCCAGCTGGGGATGGGTTCCCTGGCTAACTACAGATCAAGAAGGCAGGTCAGGTCACTACCTATATTTCTTAACTGCCTGTGAAGCAAGCATGGAATCCTTTTGGTTTTTCTTGGTTTTCTAATACTAATATTCATTGGAGGTCTTATCAACCCAAATCCAGAATGACAAGTTAATTTTCTGAAGCTCACGTAGCAAAGGTCTCCATACCTTCACTGAATTACAAATTCATTTTCGACTGTGAATTTCCATGTCTTCAATTTTGCTCTTGTATATCCATTCATTGACTCATTCATTCATTCATCAAACATTTATTGAGGCTCTACTATGTTCCAGGCACTGGGAGTCAATGGTGAATAAGGTACAGGTCTTTGAGGTGAATTAAAGTGTAATTGGTGTACCTGGCACTTAGTAAGCTTTCAGTGGATGCTTATTTCCTCTTCCTGACCCTCATGTTGCTCAGTTAAGCTGCCTAATGCATTTGACTATTGTGGATGTGTCCAGAAGAGATGGACAGTGTTGTATGCTCAGAACATCTGCAGCATAGATTGCTTTTCACCGGGCACAGCATAGGTATGTGCACTTCACATTGATTTCATCAGTAAGTAGAAATTGTAAAAATTTTTGTTCTGCTTACCAGCCCCAGCATCATATACAGACCACAATGATAAGTATTGTCAGCTTTTATCCTTCTTCCCTTCCTTGATCCATCCTTCATTGAAGCATTTTAGATGTAAGATTAAAATAGGGAGGCATGGGGGATGGGACACAAATCATCCTAACTCCCTCCTGCTACCTCTCCCACTCTAAATTCTCAGAAGACATTATTGGAGTGCTGCCATTGTTTTGGTAACAACACACCAGTTTTAAAGTCTTGTCCTTTTGTTATCTTTCTCCTCTTTGACATGCATCTAATTTTTCTTTCTTTTGTAGGCTGTCAGCCAAATGAAACAGCAAAAATATTCGACGAAAGTTTCCTTCAGTTCACAAGAGGTACCTTTAGCACCAGCTCCGTCATACCATTCAACAGATGCAGACTTCCCAGGCTATGGTATGATTCTTTCTCTGAGCAAAATTGAATTGACTCATCAGACATGAGAAAAGAGAAGGGATTGTGATGTCCTGAAAAGAGCACTGGACCAGGAGTCAGGAAGCCTGGCTTTGCACCCCTTCTATACTTTCTTAGCTTTGGGACTTGGACAGGTCACCATTTTCCTCATCTCTGTTTTTGGGATTGCCTAGTGCTTATTGAATATAAAAGTACTAGAACAAAAAACGCCCTCAGTAAATACTGTTTGAATATGAGGCTTACAAATAAATTATTCTGTACTCTCTCCAAAAGAGTGTATTTAGTTCATGAGTAATACCTCTTAAAAATCATATTCAGTCAAATTGTTAGCCTTGCATATGTTGATATAAGTTATTTGAAGACTGTTAATTTTCAGTGCTTAAAGACAAGAGTATTCACTTTCTATCTTTGAATTCCTGGCATGAATTATGCTGACTGGCAGTTGAAAATAGAATTTCAAAATGAATAATGAGTATTTCTACTTTGTTTTTATATTATATAAGTCAGTTTTTAAAAAGCCTATTTAAAACATTATGCTTACCAGTGGCAAAACACAACCCTGAATGAATTTAGCAAGCCTGACACCTTTATGGTATTAGTCTTTTACATGTTTTTCATAAACATTAACTCAATAAAAAATTTAGCAAGCCAGTATTATTCTGAAGTACTGGATTTTTACTAAAATTCTTGATGAATGTGGTCAGCAAACTATGACCCGTGGGTCAAATTTGGCCCACCATCTGTTTTTGCATGGTCTCCAAAAATGGTTTTCATATTTTTAAAAGGTTGGAAAAGTCAAAAGACTATTTCATGAAAATCATCTGAAACCCAGACTTCAGTGTCCATAAATAAAATTTAAAATACTATGCTCATTTGTTTATCTGTTGTCTAAGGCTGCTTTCACACATTAAGGATAGAATTGAGTAGTTGCCACAGAGAACGCATGGCCTGTAAAGCTCAAAATACTTACTACATGGCCTTTTACTGAGAAAGTAACCATAATTTACCAATTGAGTTTTTATTTTATTTTATTTTTTATTTTTTAAAATTTACATCCAAATTAGTTAGCATATAGTGAAACAATGATTTCAGGAGTATATTCCTTAGTGTCCCTTACCCATTTAGCCCATCCCCCTTCCCACAACCCCTCCCGTTACCCTCAGTTTGTTCTCCATATTTATGAGTCTCTTCTCTTTTGCCCCCCTCCCTGTCTTTATATTATTTTTGTTTCCCTTCTCTTATGTTCATCTGTTTTGTCTCTTAAAGTCCTCATATGAGTGAAGTCATATGATTTTTGTCTTTCTCTGACTAATTTCACTTAGCATAATACCCTCCAGTTCCATCCACGTAGTTGCAAATGGCAAGATTTCATTCTTTTTGATTGCCGAGTAATACTCCATTGTATATATATACCACATCTTCTTTATCCATTCATCCATTGATGGACATTTGGGCTCTTTCCATACTTTGGCCATTGTTGAAGTGCTGCTATAGGCATGGGGGTGCATGTGCCTCTTCGAAACAGCACACCTGTATCCCGTGGATAAATGCCTAGTAGTGCAATTGCTGGCTCGTAGGGTAGTTCTATTTTTAGTTTTTTGAGGAACCTTCATACTGTTTTCCAGAGTGGCTACACCAGCTTGCATTCCCAACCAATTGAGTTTTGATATGGTGTATCACATATTTATATCTCAATAACAGAAATTAATCATCCTATAATTTAATCTTTGGAAATTGTACTCGTTCAGTCATTTCCTTACCAAACATTTATTGGGGGCCTGGTATGTCAGGCTTTGGGCCGGATTGTATGGGAGAAATACATACCAAGACTGACTCAGGACCAGCTAGAATGAGGCAAAAATGGAGGAAAAGAAATGCCATCGCCAGCATCTCTGACTATGTATTCTCTCTCTTCTCATCCAAGAGGCTAAACTAGTCATTTACATAAGGACAAGAAACTTTGTAAAGCATTCATGAAATTATGCCACTATATTGTACATGGTTTTTATTGTAAATGAATGGAAAATGCAGTGTGAATTACATATGCTGCAAAAAGATCTGGAGTGAAATTAGGTTTATAATTTAATATTCTTCTAATAAGGCATTTGTTATTGAGGCTGCGTCACTAAATTTCTCACTCTTAACCAAGAGACCATTAGATTAACAAATTCCATGTGGTCAGAAAGAGTGACTATATGAATGCTACATTATGCCAGCTGCTGGACTGGGCACCTTATACACATTGTTCATTTAATTCCTATTAGAAAGTGGCTTGTTACATGCATCTTTTCAGATGAGGAATGAGCCTCAGTTTCACCCACCTATTAATTTCCTTCCTGGGAACTTAAATCCGTGTCGCCACCACTCCGAAACCTGCTTTATTATTTTTATTGCTTACAGCAGAACCCTCCACAGACTTACCTACAGCCTGTTCCCTTTTGTTTAATATCAGAGATTGGCAAACTTTTTCTGTAAGGAGCCAGATAGTAAATATTTAAGGCTTGTGGACCATATGGACTCTGTTGCAGCTACTCAACTCTGTTGTCATAGGGTGATAACAGCCATAGACTGCAAGTAAATGAACAGGGCTATGTTCCAATATAACTTCATTTATGGACATTGAAATTTGAATTTCATGTAATTTTGACATGTCTTCAAAAAATTTTTTTTTTCATTTTTTTTTCAACCTTTTGAAAATGTAAAAATCATTCTTAGCCCGCAGACCCTTGCTTGTACAGATGTTTAATGAGCTTTCTGGATCCCAAGTTGGTCCCTGTGCATTAGCTGCAGCTGACCAGCAGGTGGGGCTCGTTATTATCAGCCCTTAACTAAATTCTACCACGTTGTAAGAATCAGTACTTGTGATGATTAAGCTTAGTTGTCAGAAAAGATGACATTCTCTGGAGGCTGTTATTTGTATAAGAATCTCTTGAAATTAACCTTTTGAATATTTTGATTTTTCAATTAGTTAGGATCAGTCATCTGGAAAATGCACATATGTAGAAGTTATGCCAGAGAAAGTGGTTGTATTAAACATCTTTTCCTAGCCAGTAAATATTTTTTTTCTCTCAGTTTTTAGAGAAACTCAATCTATTTTTTTTCTTTTTTTTTTAAACTTTAAATTTTTTTTTTAACGTTTTATTTATTTTTGAGACAGGGAGAGACAGAGCATGAACAGGGGAGGGTCAGAGAGAGGGAGACACAGAATCTGAAACAGGCTCCAGGCTCTGAGCTGTCAGCACAGAGCCCGACGCAGGGCTCGAACTCACGGACTGCAGGATCATGACCTGAGCCGAAGTCGGCTGCTTAACCGACTGAGCCACCCAGGCGCCCTGAGAATCTCAATCTAAAAGCAAGGATTTAAAAAAGTAAATGTTGGGGTGCCTGGCTGGCTCAGTTGGTAGAGCATGAGACTCTTGATCTCAGGGTTGTGAGTTCTATCCCACATTGGGAATAGATGTTACATTAAAAAGTTAAAAATGAAATCTTTAAAGAAAATTAAAAGTAGATCTTTATAAAATAGAAATAACTCTTGTAACAAGTTTTTCAGTCATGGACCCAGTAATTAGTTCTTTTTTTTTTTTTTTAAGTTTATTTATTTTTGAGAGAGAGACAGACAGAGACAGACAGAGAGAGACAGAGCCTGAGCAGGGGAGAGGCAGAGAGAGAGGGAGACACAGAATCTGAAACAGGCTCCAGGCTCCAAGCTGTCAGCACAGAGCCCAACAGGGGGGCTTGAACTCACAAACTGTGGGATCATGACCTGAGCCGAAGTTGGGCACCGAACTGACTGAGCCACCCAGGCGCCCCATCCCAGTAATTAATTCTTAAATGTGTTTGTGACACATTATTATTATTTTTTTTTTTTTTACTATGTATGTATTTGGGGATCATTGTTCGGTAACTATTATTTTCAGCTAAATCATATTTTATTGATTAAATCCTTTATACATCTTAATTGGTGTGCTATGCTTTAATTGAAAGTAAGCATGAACTCTTAGTGTCTTAGAACTGTAACTCAGAATCTTCTATCATTCTAGTCTTTATTTTCATTATAACTTATGCCTATATGTACTTAATCATTTCGTCATTTTTCCATACCAGTTTTCATGGTATATATTAAGATTTTAAAAACTTCAAGTATAGTTAAAATAAATGATTGAGTAGGGGGTGGTTGTTGTTTTAATCTCAGAAGCGTCAGGTTTCATCCCTTCCTGAATGGGCGTTAAGGACCCAGCGTTTCCTTCATGGTGCTTAGCAGGAAAATAGCGAAATGACGAACACATGCAAACCCCGCGCTCCCCAAGTAACGAGTGTGCACGCCGGACTACATCTCCTACTAGCCGGTGATTCTGTGTTCAATCCTCCAGGTGGTTTCCAGGCTCCCCTGTCAGTGGACCCTGCCACGTGTCCCATTGTTCCTGGCCAGGAAATGATTATAGAAATATCCAAGGGACGTTCAGGTCTTGGTCTCAGCATTGTGGGAGGAAAAGACACACCTTTGGTAAGTTCCTAGAAGTAAAGTGTATCTAATACCGTTACAGAGTTAGTTGTGGAACCTTATTACGGCCTTTATCACTTCTATGGAAGACTTGGCTTTTTCATGGAATGAGAAGAAGCATAATTATAAATAGATATGCATGCATATTCTGGCCAGCCTTAAGTTTTTCTCAGTGTTTAATTTTCATCAGGATTTTCTCTGTCTAGGACATGGAGTATTTTTTTTTTTTAAGTTTTATTTATTTTTGAGACAGCACAAGCAGGGGAGAGGCAGAGAGAAAGGGAATCACAGAATCGGAAGCAGGCTCCAGGCTCTGAGCTGTCAGCACAGGGCCCAGTGCGGGGCTTGAACCCATGAACAGTGAGATCA